GAGTTTGACGTTTAGCTACTTTTGGGTAGTTTGAGATTTTTGTTTTGGCTTTTAGGAACAATTTAGCTAATTGTAGTCTTTAGSTCGTCTTTAAAGTACCTGTGACAGGCATAGTCTTCAAAAACAAAAAGTMAAAGAAAACATCTTTATATTTAAGAAAGTTAGAATACACACAGTTTAACCCATTTTGTCCCATAACTGCATATTTTCTTTTGAACTTGATTCAGTTAAAGTGAAACAGGAAGTGACATCAGAGGGGAACTCTTTAACAAAGAAAACTCTCGTCTTTGTTTAATGAAACATTATTTGAACTCTGACTTTTCTTCATGTCTCTGATAGACTCAAAAAAATCTAAAGAAACATCAGATTCTTCTCTACAGTCTGGGTTGTTGGCTGCTGTAGCAACACTCTGTTTACATGCAGACATTCCCCTCTGACATCACTTCCTGTTAATTTACAAATATCTCAACTGTTCATCTCAGCGACATCAATTTCTTTTGCAGTATTTTGTCAGTGACATCTTTCAGAAATGCGTTCGTATTACAAAAAAATTGAAGTCACGGGCACTTTAATATTTTTAGCTTTTGGGCAGCAATTTGATCAATTTAAACTTTCAGTTATGGTTTTGCTAATTTGTTTRAACACTAGTTTTACTAATATTAGCTTAAAGTTACTGTTTTACTAGTTTGATCTCTTTAGCTACTTTTGTTCAATTTTTAATATTTGCTTTTACCCAGTTTTAGTAATTTTACATTTTAGTTGAAGTTTTGGCTTTTAGCTACAATTTGATCCAGTCTTCATGGTTTTGCTCATTTTAGCTTTTTAGTTTTGCTAATTAGATTTAAAATGTTACCTTTTAGCTATAAATTAGATCTTAGCTTTAAGCCAATATTAAATTTGATCAAATCTTTTAGCTGATTACTTAATTTTAGCCAGTTTTTGTCAGTGGTTTTACCAATTAGAGCTTTTTTAATAAATTTCAGCTATTTTTCTGTTGAATGAAACGGTTAATTAATTTTTTCTTGTCCTCAGACGTACCTGAAGGAGATCCTGCGGGACATCGGCATCTACAACGTGAAGGGAACTCACAAAAACACCTGGGAGCTCAAACCTGAGTACAGACACTACCAGGGGGAGGACAAGACTGAGGATTAGTTTGTTTCTCTGCAGACGATGGAAAGTGTAACGTTTCTCATTTCGCCTGATTTCTGCCKGTCTTTAAGGTGAAACTCCTCCAGACTCCATGTTCAGTCTGATGGACAGTGTTTGGGTCAAAAACTACAGTATGTTTTGCTGTTCCCTTTTGTTTAAAAGGAAAGTTTTGGGTGTAAAATACAGATTTAAATCTCATTTGTGAATTCCTGCTGATTTAGGTTTGTTGAAATTTTAAATTTGACTTTGGTAATAAATTTTTTTTAGAATTCCTTGTTGATTTTTTAATCCTGATTTATCTGCAAATATCGAGGCAACTGGTCAGACATTTGTCTTTAGACCTGAAAGTCTCAGGTTTATTTGCACATAAATCCAAAATGAATGAACTGCTGCCCATAAGAGTTAAACACAACACAAACTTATGAATGTATGCAGCACGTCAGCATTAAGAGTTCTGCACTTTTTAAATTGCAGTTGAGTAAAGCAGCTGTTAAAATACAGGCAACTCTTTTTCAACCTTAAAAGATATCAGCAGCACTGACGCCTCACAGCAAGATCCTGGGTTTGAACCCAGGGTCCTCCCCACTCACCACTAAAACATATCCCACAGGCAGTACAGCAGACTTCAGGCCTGGATAAATAAACTAAACAAAAAAGGTTTGCAACATTAAGTTAGTAATGTTTAATTTATAAAGTGTAGAGTAGAATCACAGAAATAGATTCACAAGGTGCTGTACAGTCAAAAACAAAACAGGCTGATACGTCCCCCAGCTCAGAGCAGGTAGGAGACAGGAAACATCAAATCTTTTCTACATTACGTTTAACTTGATTATATGAACTGCAGGTAAGACTTGACAAACTGCACAAAACCACAAAGGTTTTGCTGTTTTTACTGTTTTATCAACACATTTCACATCAAGATGACAAAAAAAAAAAAATAAAAACACAACTGACAACTGGAATGATGAGTTTCACACAATGCACATATTTTTAAATGACATGAATAGAGAAAAATAAATATTTTAAATAATTTATTTGCTTAASTCAGTTCTGCAACCTTATTGTCTGAGAAACATCTTAAACATTTTTCCAACTAAACAGTTTGTATGAAGCCACAAATCCCATCAGGCTCTTAAAATATCCATTTTTTCACATCTTCTCTACATTAAAGAGTCAAACTTGAACCATTCAGCTGATTCTGGTGCTGAACAGATGAGATCCGGTGGCAGATCGTTCTCCATCTGCATGGAAAAATAGATTGTAGCAAAGTTAAAGCATAATTTAAAGAGGATTGTAATTAGTCAAATTATTTACAGTTTGAATACATTAATCTGCATAATCTGTACATTTTACAACAGATTAYTACAAAAGCCCACCTGTATTCAACAGTCTGTCTCAGCTGCTGGATTCTCTGGACAGGTGTCACCATGACAGCTCTAAAGTCAGAGAGAAGAAGRAAACTGCATTTGTTCTGTCAAATATTACAGTTCAGTTCAGAAACACCTCACTGAGGTTGTTCTCCCCTCTTCAATCCGAGACGCCACAAAAACAGGCGARCAGAAAGCGCGGGGACGCTTCAATGTTGCATCTGCCAAAATGAAACCCAGGACGTCTCACCACAGAGAGCCCAGGCTGTCAAAGATGCCACCTGGAGCCGGGATCRGTTAMAGATCCAGAACAAGAAGCTTATAAAACCTACAATACCTGCACGATTCAGCCTTCCTGCAGTTTGAATCGCCTGCTTCAAACTCCTTTAGCTGCTGCAGAACAAACATCTGGACTGAAGCTCAACACACCCATCATCCTCCACCTGCTCCACACAGGTGTCTCATCTGATCACCTGAAAAAAAAAAAACAAACAAACACATTTTACTACTAAATACAGTCATCCAAAACCACAGCTGTAAAGTACAAATACTGTTATTGGTAGAAAGYCATTAATCCCATTTATTCAGTTATTGTTTAAAATAAATACTATCCAGATAAATTGTGTCTCCTGGATGGAGTGAATTTAACTGGTTGGATTAGAAGTATAAATATATACCATTCTGACACTATCTTAGCTTGTACACAACCCATCACAGCTGCTCGCCGTTAGAAAATATGTTTTTTGAGGAGTCGCCTCCCAATAAATGTCATTTTGGAAAATCTAACTGCTCACTTTTACTCAGTACTTTTACATTTAATACTTGAAGTACAAAAATTATCAGATACTTAAMGACTTTTGCTCAAGTAATAGTCTTAAATAAGACTAGCTTTTACTAAAGTAATTTTATGACAAAATTGTTACTTTTACTTAAGTATCGCTTTAAGGTACTTTATAAAACACTGTCCAAAACCTCTACAAAGAGCCAAAATCTTAAATCTCATTCTTCTACAGCTACATGTTGCTGTTTAAACCATTAATCAATTAATCTAAAGACACCATTTATTCATCAAATCTGGAAGCTGCGTTCAGAAAAACAAGTGGCGATTAGCATGCTAGCACGCTAACTTTACTTCCGTGTTGGGTCCGTTTTCCCACCGTAACTCAACCCGAACTACAACTCAGCATTATTTTCACATCTTAAACGCTTATAATCTTACTTTATTTTCCTGTCACGACCTGTTCCAGTCGCATGATTTGTTCAATGATAGCAATGCTAGTAAAGCTGCAGCTAGCTAGCCGCGAATGCACGTGCTGCTCACTCCACCGGCTAATGTAAGAAAACCGAGCATGCGCAGAAACTGCTGCTTTGTTCCCCGTCGTTGAAGAAGCACGAAGACTTACCGGACGTCCCGATGTCAGGAGGTAGAGAAGATTTAAAACTCTTCAACATGATGAACCGAAGCGGACCGAGTCCAGAACCGAACCGGACCAGGCAGGAAGTGAAAAGGGCCGCTGGAACGTGAGCTTCTAGTATTTATAGACTGTCATTAGCGCCCCCTTGTGTAGATAAGAAGTGTGGCTCTGTCGCCCCCTGGTGGCCGAAAGAAGAATTACAAGAAGTGTTACGTCACTCCAATTACTTTATATTACTCTCTAATTAACTGAACATATTTAATCTACATGAAATATTTGCTGGACTAGCACATTTAGATAAAGTAATTTAAATATGTTTGATATTTTTGTTTGTTTTAAGAACGTTTTTTATAAAATAAAACAGTGACACAGATTGTGTTAACATAAAAATAGCATTAATTATGTTCAATCAGAGAATTAAAACAGACCACGCCTCCGGTAAGAGCATAAAAAACACTAAAATAAAACATTAACTCATCTGGGGAGGGGGTACGTCACGAGGCACCCGCGCRCGAGCAGGACGCGCGCGCGCGCCCGCCGCCTTTTATCATTTTTCACTTCTTAATTGGGACTCGGCGCGCTCGGGTTGGGGTCCTCTCCCTGCAGCTTCATGCAGGCATCAGTGAAGACCTAAAACAGGTGAGTTCAGCTTTAAYTAATTTAAAATATAGAACATTTAAAAAGACATTTATAGCCTCAGAAATCTGGAAATGATGCCATTTTTTTATTTCCTCTTAAGTGGAGTGAAGAAAAAGCCAAGATATGTTCAAAGCTGTGTTTGGAAACAAGAAGGAGGGAGGAGGGAAACGTGGAGAGAAAAAGAGCCATAAACATGCAGGTAAAACCTCTTTACTCAGGCTAAAATAACAAGGTTTTTACCCTGAAGGGTCCTGGTGGTCCCATATTTACTTATTTATTGTTGGATTTCTGCACAGAAATAGAAAAACAAAAATGAAACGATGCAGTTGAGTATTTTTCATTGCACGAGTCTTTTTGATGATGATATTCAGGTTGTCTTCTCCTGGGTGGGATGAGAAGATCCACTCCAATTAGCCTAATTCAGCAGTGATGCTCCGTCCTGCACAGAGTGTCCCGCTGCTTTTATTTTAAGTGTGTCAGACGAAGTTAGGCAAACATCCTGACCTATAAAAGCTAAACGACAACGATCAGTTTGGTTTGTAAATAAAAGAGGAAAACCTGCAGCTGTGAACACAGTTTGTGTGTTTTTGTGCTGCATGTATTTTTCACAGGTTGGACTTGTCGACTCGCTGCAGCACAGAGGAGATACATGAACATGAGTGGAGCTCGGGATCAGAGCAACCATGTTGCACATTAATATTTAATCATTCGCTGCACCGGGAAGCAAAGAAATGAGAGGAGGATGAGAACTGTGTCAGCCTCATTAATACAGTTTGTTTACAGTTCGGCTTTAGAGAGAGATGCTTCATGACATCATCTCATTTTATCTTTACTTTGTTCATCTCCTCTCGTTCTATTCAACCTTTACATACCTTTACATTTTAATTTCATCCTGCCTCATCTTTTATTTTTAGCTCATTAGAATTAATCTCTTCTCATTTCATGTGTTCTTATCTCATCTTCTCTTTTTATTTAAACTTTTTTTATCTAATCTCATTTTATTTGATCTTATCTTGCATTTTTCACCTTCTTACTTTTCTAATCCCACCTCATCTTGTAATCTCTAATCTCATTTTAACTTTTCTCCTCATCTTTTATCATATCTCAACTTATATATGTTTATCTTGTTCGATGTCATCTCATATTTTCTTACCTCATGTCTCTTTTTTTATCATATTTGATCAAATCTCAAATTTTCTTTTCTCATTTCATATCTCTTTAATTTTATCATCTTATTTAATCTTATCTGGTCTTTCATGTTTTCTTCTCTCGTTTCTTTTCATCTTTTCAAATCTCATCCAATCAATATCATACTTTATATCTCTTCTTATCTCATTTTATTTGATCAAATCTCTTCATTTCTGATTTCATCTCATACATTTTCTTATTCATCAAATCTTATTTAATATTAGTTTTTTCTAATCTCATCTTTTTTCGTCTTGTCTCAAATTTTCTTACCTCATGTCCTCTTATGTCAACTAATTTTTTCACAACTCATCTTATTTCACCTCATCTTTTATTTTTTATCTCATGTGAACATATATTTTCTACTTCTTATTTAATTTATTCTTTCCTCATCTCATTTCTTACATACTTTAAGTTTTTTGCTTAATCTTCTTTATTTCTCATATGAACTTGTCTATTTTCTCATCTTTTCTCTTCTCATATAATCTGTTCTTACYTTTTCTCTTCTTAATCTTTTTTTATACTTTATTTCTTTGTTCTTTATTGTTTCATTTCTCATCACACATGTATCAGCTTATATTATTTGATCCAGTCTTGCATTTTTCATCATATTTATTCTAATCTCATCTTGGTTTTTAATATTTCAACTGAACTTTTACCTCATCTCACTTTATTCTAATCTTGTCTGATGCCATCTCATATTTTCTTACCTCATATCTTTTCATCTTATTTCATGTTATCATATTYGATCAGATCTCATCTTTTCTCATCTCACATCTCTTTTATTTCATCATTTTATTTAATCTCATCTTTTATCTGTCTTTTATCTCACCTTCTCTTATCTCATCTAATAGGTTTTTACTTTATATCTCATCTTATTTCTTCTCATCTTATTTGATCAAATCTCATCTTTTCTTATCTTGTTTCATATTTTAAGATTGTATATCATCTCTTAACCTCATCTTKTCATCTCTGATCTTTTCTGATTCATGTTTTTCTCATCCTCTCATTTCATTTTGTCCGATATCTCGTCTTCTCATCTTATTTCATCTCATCTTGATCTAATCTCATTTTTCTCATATCTTTTAATTTTACTATTGTATCATATTTCTTTTTATCACATCTGACGTCATCTCTTTTCTCATCTCATTTTAATCTTGTTCATTTACAGCATTGTTTTAATTTCTTTTTTCTTGATCTAGTAGCAGAAAATCAGCCTCTTGTCCTCCCAGATGGAGGTGAAAGGCTGAGTTATCTCAGCGAGCAGAGCGGTGTCAATCATTCTAGTCTGCAGTAAAGTTTCCTCGTGTTGCATAATGTCTGTGTGAGTGGCTTAATGGCTGCAGAGCAGAAAACTGATTGAAACTTTGAATTTTAATGCGACAGATGTGACATGATGTCATCTCTGTAAATAGACTCAGCTCATTCAACTCGTTTTAGGAAGTCAAAGCTCAGCTGAATCCACTCTCCTCCATCTTTTCTGTCTGCGTGCAGGCGGCGAGGCACGCCCCCCCGGCGCACCACAGAAGGGGGGCAGCCACCGGGTCGCCCACCTCCACGGCCGTAACGGCGGCCACGTGGGCACCCCGAGAAAACTGAAGCGGCTGACGAAGGGCGTGTCCATTTCCTTACCCTCCTCCCCCCTCCTCCCCCACCAGGCCGACATCGCTTCATCCCAGTCGTGCGTCCGGTTCRCAGGTGGGTCGAGAGCCGAGGAGAGAGCAGCTGCAGAGAGAAAAAACAAATGTTTGCTCGGCTTTTCCCTCCGATCAGGAGGGATCTTCACCGGCTTCTGTCGTTCCACAGAAAGTCCAGACGGTGTCCTCAGGGCCCAAAAGACATAAAACAGATTGTCAAAGTAAATAATTCAGCAAAAATAACTGCAGGCAAAGAACCCCAGTGAGGTAAAATATTCAGAAAATTTAAACTTTAAACTGTGACCTTCTTATAGAAAATGTATAAAAGATGTAAATAATTAACATGAACTTGTTGGCAACAATATCAGCCATTATTTTTTTCACATTAATTATTAAATTAAAAGCCTATAGTATTCAGTGTGTCAGCTACTACCACACAGGAATGAACTTACATTTATATAAAATGTTTTTTTAAGATAATTATAATCAGTTACATAAAGTTGTGTAAATAAATAAAACCACAATGATTTGCAAATCTCCTAAACCCATATTTTTATTTTTACAATGGAACAAACTAATTATATCAAATGTTTAAACAAAAAAAAATAGTATGGTCCATCCTGTCTATCAGCTTACAGTTCAAAAGCCTGCCTCTCTGATGGTATGGGGGTACATTAATGCTTTTGGCATTGGTAGCTTACACATCGTTTGCATCGTTTTGTGTTTGACTTCAACTAAACAGAAACCGTCTTATTGCTACGACTGAGCCCCGCTAACAAACACTAAATGAGCTCTACCTGGTATTTCCTGCATTGAAACAACATTTTAAGCACATTTTATAAATACTTAAACTATTACGTGTTACGACGTGAAATAAATAAAACAAATACCATTTAAAGTAAGAGTTTTACTCACTGAGTCAAGGTGAGTCTTGAATTTTGAACTCTCCCACTTTCCCACAGGGAATTCCCATAATCAACATGCATTATGGGAGATGTAGTTTATGGTCATTACTGGCTTCAAAACAGCTCAGGGGCCAGACAAGTATTATTATCCTTCACCTTTTAAAAGTTTTTTTATTTTGTTATACTGGATCATAAATTCAAAGTTTACCATTGATATACAAACTATTTACATTTTTAATTGGGTAAAAAAAGAGAGAGAAAAATTGGGGGTGGGGCCATTTTGATGGAACAGATGAAAATCACAAGTGGGCCGTATTTGGCCCACAGTCCTTAAATTGGACACATGTGCTTTAAACGGTTTCACAAGATGTTTTGCTAACAGACACTCACACATCTTGTATAAAGTACATGAAAGTGATATTTGTCTGAAAGTACAAGTATTTTACCAT